GGTATTCTTTCTGAATGCATTTATAATGAAAACTTGGATTTCTCTATCTCAGATATTATTCAGGAACTTGCCGATCTAAAGCCTTATAAATCCTTCGGATCTGACGGCTTGCATCCCTTAATACTCAAGATATGTGCCAAAAGCTTTGCAATTCCATTAACAAAAATCTTTCATAAATCCTTTAATTCAAGAGTAGTACCCACTCAATGGAAATTAGCAAATATTAGTCCGATCTATAAAAAAAAGGGAGATAAATTACTTGCTGAAAACTATAGACCTATTTCACTAACATCTGTTGCCTGTAAAATCTTTGAAAAACTTGTAAAGAAAAAAATTTTAAAGCACATTAACGATAATAAAATGCTCTCTGCAAATCAACATGGCTTCCTTTATCATAAATCATGCGTAACTAACCTAATAGAAACTTTTGATATCATTTCGTCCTCCATAGCATCTCACCAATTTATTGATGTACTCTATCTTGACTTTGCCAAAGCGTTTGACTCTGTACCTCACAACAGACTTTTGTTAAAGTTAAGATCTTTCGGAATAAACGGCAAACTCCTACAATGGATTAAATCTTTTTTAGTGGGCAGAAAGCAACGCGTTACAATTAACAATACCAGCTCTGCATGGGTTGATGTTCTCAGTGGTGTTCCTCAAGGTTCTGTTCTCGGCCCGCTCCTCTTCATTCTCTACACAAATGATCTCGCAAAACTCACTGAAACTTCTGAGATATTTGCCGATGATACTAAACTTTTTTCTAAAACCTTATCGCAATCTAATTTTGTTGATCTGCAGGATCGTCTACGCTTGGTATACGAGTGGTCAAACACTTGGTTACTTAAGCTAAACACTTCAAAATGCTGCGTCATTCATTACGGTCGAAACAACCCCCATTACAATTACTTTCTTCAAAATAACCAAGGAATCAACCAATCTCTAAGAAGCTCTACTAAAGAACGTGATTTAGGAGTCATTTTTACATCTAACCTCAAGTGGAGCGCTCATATTCAAACAGTTGTCTCTAAGTCCTTACAAATTCTCGGTATGCTGAAAAAGACATTCACTTTCATTGATGAAAAAATGGCTCTCAAACTATATAAAGTATTTATAAGACCACATCTTGAATATGGAGTGTCCATTTGGGCTCCTTTTTTAAAAGCTGATATGGCTTTGGTTGAATCTGTTCAACGCAAAGCTACAAAATGGGCTTACAGCTTGAGGCATCTTCAATACTGCGAAAGGCTAAAAAGATTAAACCTACCATCACTTGAGTTTCGACGCCTTCGATGCGATTTAATCCAAATTTTTAAATTAATACATCGTTTTGATATAGTTAATGATAAATATCTACCAAAATATATTAACTCCGTGTCTCGTGGTCACCATTCTAAAATAAGGCGTGAGTATGTTCTAAACTGTCTTCCAAGATATAATCATTTGTATAATAGATCAGCAAAATACTGGAACGAACTACCAGAGCAAATAACTTTGTACTCCACTGTACTTTCTTTCAAAAATAGACTAGACTCCTGGTTGTGGAAAAAGTTTGGAACAAATATTTATAAAACTGGTTGTTTATAGTGGGGTGTTTCCCCTGCTCGCTGTATGTGTACATTCTATGTAAATTTACGGCTACAACTATAATAATAATAATAATAATAATATTGCTAATCTCAAATAAGTTGCTTAATTCTTTTATTTTTAGTGTATTTATTTGTAAATATTATTTTATTTAATTTCTTTTATTATATTATTATTATAATATCATTATCATTATTTATGTGATGTATGCAACTGAGAGGGAAATTTTGAAACTGTACATCGGTTGGGAAGATGGTTGGGAAAATGAGTATAACTTTAATTTTGTAAAGCGAAAAATTGACACTAGTAAGATCACTAACAATGTGATTTCAATTTTATTAACAGTTTTTCATCCAAAAGCGTTTTTTACTTTTTTAAGTAAAAAGTTCTTTTGCCAATTGAGTTTAACATGCCTAATATTGATGTGTTAAATAAAATGTGCCGAAAAATAAAACAAAGAAAAAAAGATTCTAAAAAGTATTTTGAAGCTTCAAAAAACGAAGCATTTTTTAAAATGCAACTGTCTCCAGCTCCACAAACAAAAAAACAAAAAAAATCAGCAGATGCAGATAATTTTTATATTTTAAATAGGAATAAGGAACTAAGTAGTCAAGTTGAACAATTAGTTTCTAAAGAAAAAAATAATGTGAAGCAAATAGATAATTTAAAAATACAGGTATCAAAGTTGGAAACTGAAGTTATATATTTAAATTCTAAAAACAAGGCTCTCAACGCACATTGTAACTCATTAAGTTCTCAATTAGAGACTATGAGTATTAGGCTAAAACAGGAGGAGCAGTTCCAACTTTAAAAAAAAAAAATTTAAAAACAGCACACCGTAAATTTGCATCTGCTCGTGCCAAAAATGTAAGATTGCTAAAAAAATTTAAATTTGAAAAAAAAAAAAGCAAAAATCAGTGATATAAACAAGAACAGTTGCCAAATTTGCAAATATTTTGCTAGCAGTGATAAGGATTTAGTTGTCGTTGATTCTTATTTAGACTATGACAACATTGGTTCCTCTGAATTATTCTGTGGGTTTAAATTAAGTAATCCACAGACTATATCAGTTAAAAAGCCAATAGTTGGTAAGAAATATACTTACATTAAGTTAGGAGATGGTAAATCTTATTCTAAGTTAGGTAGGCATGCTGCAGCTAGACGATCTAAACTTGCTTTTATATTCCTTCGATTATTACCTTGTTCAGATTTGGAAAGTGATTTGTCTATGTTGTTTTGTGATTCTGTGTCTTGTGAAAAGTCTATGTTTCATTGTGTTGCAAATAAGTTGAGTTTAGTTAGGCAGTTAAGTGTTTCTGATGCTGTAGAGCTGCAGAGCCAATTAAGGATGCCCACGGCTGAATTCCGTAGGCTAAGACGTATTCTGTGTAATCTTGGTGCAAGGATTCTCCCATCTGAGCCCAAGATAAGACAAGAACAAGTAATGCGGACAATGCATGTTAGTAAAGAACATGTTACTGTAAAGTCCATGTTGCTTTATCCATCTGCGAATAAAGCACCTTGTATAGTACCTGTATTGATGGTCAAGAATTTGATAACTTATATTGAAGAGGTTTTCAATAGTCTGCACGTTCGTGACCACTTCAATTCTATTCTGTTTTAATGCCTGTAATGTTTGTTCAAAATAATAATAATTTTTTATTACAATGATTTTATATATTAGGTAGATGCCCATTCTGTTCCTATTTTTAAAAGTTTATTATATCTATGCAATGTCTTTGCTCAAGTTAAAGAATGGAATAAAAGTCTAGCATCAAATGTATAGCTAACTATTTTAATTTGTGATCAGAGCAACTGGTATGTTTGTTGGATATGATTTTGTATGTTTATGTAGTTAATTCAAAAAACGTTTTATCCTTTGTTATGTAATATGTAACATTTTTTATATATATTAGATCTCCGTTCAATTTTTATCATCAAAAGTTAGTTCTACCTTCGCAGGACCTCTGCTCTACATACCTCCTCTCTGGTTAAAGAATGGAATATAAGTCTCATTTATCAAGTTGGTGTAAAAATTTAGCTTGATAAATTAAGAAGTTGTAAACTTTATTATCACAATTGCCAAGTTGACCAAATGTTCTTCTGGTTTTAAATGAATTATGCATGAGTCTAGTATCATCTGGGTGTTCAAAGATAGTTTACTGCTTGAAGAACTTATCAATGGACCAACTAATTATAAAACAGTTTTTAATGAAAATAAAATCGAATTATCAAAAGATTTAAATCAGCTATTTGTGTATATTTAAACACTTTATTTTTTGTGAGAAGAGATTATTGATACAAGTACCATAAAATAATTCTACTACCAAAAGCTAGGTTAATTCAAAACCTTTAATTCAATTTTGGTCATGAATTATTTTATTAGAATTGATGAGTTTTTATTTATTAACTACCTAACACCATATTATTAGAACTTTATTTTGTAATGTAATGATTTTATCAGCGCTCCAAAATAATTTTCTAAATCAAGAACTTCTATATTAAAAAAGTACTCATTTAACAACTAATCCCCCCTTATAACGACGTTTTTCATAATTTTGCGAAAAATGTGGTTTGCTTTCACAATTCGATTACGGCTGTTTTAGTTAACCTTAAATAATTAAGTAAGATTTTTTTGTTTTCATTATTGTCAAACAATAAGTGTATTTGATATTCCTAATAGTTATCTATTAGGAATATATTTTTTTAATTTTTTTTTGATAAAAAGTAACATCAAATTACAAAAATTTAGCCAAATTCAATATATGTCATATTTATTCTAAACTAAAAGAAGTTTTTCTACTAATGCATTAAATGTCATAAGGTAAAACATTTTATTGATGTCTTAATTGTTTTTACAAAACAAAATTACCTCTTATATTTCAAAAGTTATAAAAGTTTTAGTAACACCCCTTTAGTCAATATTTTCAAAAATTAACAAGAAGCCTTTAAGCTCGGTTTGAAACAGCCGTGTAGATGTGCTAACATTTCAAATTGCCTAACATTTTTCCTTCATAATAATATTTATAATTTAAATTAAATGTATATTTAAATCAGTTCAAAAAAAAACTCATCTTTAGTTGTTTAGAAAATGAAGCAAAAGACTTGCCAATTGCTAAGGAAGGTGATTTTAGTTTTCTCTTTTACAAAATGTACAAAATTTATGTTTGTCTTTATTAAATTTTTTCTTTCTTAAATTCATTTCAAGTGTTGTGTCTATATTAAAGGTAACTTTAAAATATTTTTTTTTTACATTTGAATTTTATACAATTGCCACACTGTAATAGAATTTTAATAAATCACTTTAATTCTTATGTATACTTAATCAAGATACCCATCAGTAATATTATTAAATATGTTACTTAATATTAGTTACAATACTCTTTAATATCTTTATCAAAGTTATCAGTTAATTTATTGAGCGATTTATTAAAAGTTTTAAAATGTTATTATTTATAGAAATTATTAAAATTGTGGCTTCAAAAGACAACAAAGATGAATTTTCTATGTCTGAAGAAAGTAAGTTAAATGTTTTTATTAGTTATTGGGCCATTCTAGTTAAATATCTAAATATTCTCTCATATCATTAAGAATATCGAAAGCAATCCCTAAAGTTGTTAATAGAAATTAGAGATGGGATTAACCGATTATTAAACACGCCGAGTGTCAGTGGAGCTCTCAATATAGTTAAAATTAATGACATTTCAAAACTATATGCTGCAAATGATGAATTGAAAGATGCAGCAGTAAGGAGAAATGCTGTAAGTTATTATATTGGTTTGAAACTTAGGCATGAAGTGCAAAAAGCAAATAAAATTAAGGTGAGGTAACCTACTAAATAACTAGTAAGCTTATTCTTCTTGTTATTTAGTAATCTAGTGTCAAAACAGGACCATTCAAGTTATGTGACACTATATTTTTTAGGTCCCCCACGCATTATGTTGAAGTTTTTAGTAATACTAGTTTTCTGTTAATTCTCTAACTTTATATAGATTTTTTTTTGTAACATTTGTTATATCTGTTTATAGATAGAAATGTTAAAATGTGTAGGAGGAAATGATTGTGGCGAAATGGTGCGCAATATTTTAGACAGGTATGTTATAATGTTGTATTTAAAATAAATAACTCAATTCATATATTTGAAAATTTCTGTTTCATAAATCTATGTAATAAAAGTTTATTTTAAAAAATGTGTTTAAGGTTATTTAGCATTTCTGTAATGTCGAAAATGAACATGAAAGGGTCATCTAGACAAGGGGAAGCAAAGATAGCATTTAAGAATTTAGAATTCTTTAGTTTGATTCAAGGTAAGAAAGTTAATTTATTTTATTGCATAACAAAGAATAATATTTAATGTAATACGGTTTTATTTTTTTTCCAAATAAATAGTTGAAAATCAAATTATTTATGTTTTAGAGGTAGTCACCAGGCAATTCAGTAACGTTTCAACAAAAGCACTTAGAGCAGCTATAGGAAATAAGCTAAAGAATGCCCCTGGACAACTAAAACGCGATCAAGCATCAAGTTGAAAATGTTGTATTGTAATTAAATTAAATATTGATTTGTTATATTAATATTGATTTGATATATTAAGTTTGATATATTAAATTAAATAAATCAAAACTTCTTTGCTCTAAAAATAACATATATATTTTTGTTCAATTTTTTCGCATTAAAAGCATGTAATAATTTGAAATTGAAATTATTTTTTAAATTAACAGATATAAGTATTTTAGATAAATGTAAAATTAGATAAATAGTAAAATTACATAAAAATGTAAAAATAAGATAATTAGTAAAAGTAGATAAAAAGTAAAATTAGATAAACAATTATTTATCTAATTTTACTTTTTTAAAAAAAATATAATATTTAAAGATTATGTTCTTTTTAAAAAGTAAAATGAATAAAAAAATACGACACAAAGAAAGATTTTTAAGTTAACTTGCAAAGGTATTATCCACGTCTTGATCGCAAATCTTAAATACGTGATTTTATATACGAGTTTAAAACATATATAAAAAACGCATCATAAGCGTATGTAAAATAAACTTACGTCTTAAACTTATATTTAATAAAACGTATTAAAAGTTTGCGTTTAAGACCAATACAAGACAGTTTAAATACGTTTTAAAGTATTTTAAAGTACGTATATAAAACGTATTATATACGTATTTGTGCCGGCTGGGCTTTTGCATAAACTAACAAGTTATGATCATTCAAAAGATCATTATTAATCATTATACTTGTAGCAACTGATAAGCCTAAGAAATGCGTATATGTTTCTTGAGAAACTACACTTTAAAAACTAAACTAAAACAACCATACCAGTATAAAAAGTTTTTCAGAAATGATTGCATTTTGAACCTCTGATATACTGCATGATCTTTTACCTTTGTTGAAAAAAATTATAATTCATTTAGTTACTCCTAAGTAAACTAAATACATAATATCTAAAATAAATGATGTAACACATGGTATATTATGTTTAGCTAGAGTAAATAATGTTTTTTGGTGTTCTTTGTAACTGTGTATTTTAAATTCTCTATCATTTCTCAGAGTATATCCTGACCCTAAAAAAACTTGTCGATGATTAATATAGCACTACGAATAACACATTGCTCACATGAATTGTATCCATTATGGCTATTTATTGACTTCAAAAATTGTCGAGCTGGAGCATCACAACAAAATGATTTAAGGGAAACTAGGTAATGTTTATATGGAGTTTTGATTCCATTTTGTAATAAAATTAATAACTCGTTTACAAAATCAAACATAAAGCTTTCTTCATATAAAGGTTTGCTCTTGCCACAGAAAATAGCTACAGCAAATGGTTGGATACTTGAAAATGAGCAAAGTATGGGCCATAAAGCTACTGATGTGCTTTTAAATAATGGGATCCCATCAACATTAACAACTAACTCAATTTTCTCAAGATCTGGAAATTTAATTAAATTTTTTAAAATATTAGTTTCCAAACAATAGTAAATGTATTTGCCACCAGACTTATTTTGCAGTGGAATGTTACTTGGAGTTTTCAATAATGTCCTTCCATCTTTGGAAACTCTGTGTGGCCATATTTTTTCAAAATAAATAGAAGTTGATTTGTTGCAGAGTGTGAAGTTTGGTTTACAACAACCCATTCTGCTAGTTCTTCACATAGATTTCCATTTACTATTTTGTCATCTATAAAGTTTCCATGATTTAAGATACAAGATTCATAATCAGAACTATCAGAGACTTCGGCTGAGTCAAGATTGGAATCTGTGTCGAAATCTGTTTCTTCAACACCGTCAATTCTTGCTCAATTGAGTCTTCGAAAATATATATATATATATATATATATATATATATATATATATATATATATATATATATATATATATATATATATATATATATATATATATATATATATATATATATATATATATATATATATATATATATATATATATATATATATATATATATATATATATATATATGTGTGTATATATATATATATATATATATATATATATATATATATATATATATATATATATATATATATAAATATATATATATATATATATATATATATATATATATATATATTTTTAAACTTTAATTCAATATTATCCATAAATCAAAAATATATTTTAGATAACTTGTAAATAGCTATTTACAAACATCAAATAAAAGAATAACTATATTTATGAATAATTTGTAAATAATAACACTTTTAAATCAAGTACAATTATAAATAGCACGCTTCTCTGAGCGATGGCCATCTTTATTTTAAAGTCTTATCTGTCTCGATATCAAACAGAAAGTAAAATACGCGTTGATTTAACGTTGATTATATCAACGTAAGTTTATCAACGATAAATTAACGTGGAATAAACGTTAAAAACTCCGACGTTGAAATTTCCACCTTGTTAAGACGTTGAAACAACACTTATTTTTCCAACGTTAGTTTATCAACAATAAATCAACGCGGAAAAGACGTTGAAATTTCTGACGTTGACGTTTCAACAATGCGCAGACGTTGACAAGACGTCGTTTGGTTGCTGGGATGAGGGGATGTAATATTCTAATTTGTAACAACAAGAAGATGTGATTAATTGAGTATTAAATGTGACATACTAGTATAATCTTTATAAACAATGTACAAATTGAATTTAACATTATCAGATTCTAACCGATAAACAAAACACTATTAGCAACGTACATAATGTGATATTCTAAACATATAATACCAATAGTGAGTGATATATTTCTGAAATAATATAGGTGATGTAATATTGTAAGATTCAAAGCAGCAAACAAAACTATTTGTTACGACATTGTTAAACAATGTACATAAAAGTCCAAATATTCTAAACATATAATGGTGATTGTAAATGATATATTTATTAATAATTTAAGGAATGCAATATTCTAAGGTTCATAGCAGAATAAACAACTACTTTTTATAACATATATTATCTATATACATAGTCTATGTAATACTCTGTATATATAAAACTGAAAGTATACAATTGATTGCTTAATTACACTAAGGGATGTAACGTTCTAAGTTTCTATGCATAATTTACTACTAACCTTTGTAACAGTTATGAACAATACGCCTAGGAAATATGATATTCTATTTGTTTAATTCTGATAGTGTGCAATACATTTTTTGACTTTATTAAAGTAATGTAATATCCTAGGATTCTAAACTAAAAATGCAACTTTTTAATATGATATTCATAAACAAAATGCATAACAGATATTACATTTTAATTGTATAATACTGATAAAAGTATGTTTTTTAACTACATTAAGGGATGAAGTATTCAAAGATTTTGTTCTCCCGTTTTATATCAATTGTTTTTTTAGACTTTTTTCTATTCATCAAAGCTACATTTTCTACACTCAAGGCCAACAAGTTTACGAAAAGTTTGTATACCACTACATGATTTATCATCAATGTATTTTTAAACACATTAATGATAAATTAAATAAGCAAAAGAGTTTTCTGCAACATCATTTGTACACACTTTTTCAGAAAACAAATGATATAAGAAAGAATAAGAAAGCAGATAATATTGTGGCCATGAAAGGCCACAGTGTTTTTTGTTTTCTCATTCTTGGCTTTACAATGGATAACTTTAGTCTTATTTGTGTTTATCTATTGCTCTTTTGCTTACATTCTACTATTCCAATACTAAACTTTTTATATTGTTTCTTCTTCACTATTTGCATTCAGTAAAACACTATATGCGTGAATAGTTCTTTAAAATAAATGTCAAAAAACTGACCACTGAACCCTAATGCATATGCCAATCTTTTCTTCAAAACTATAATTTTCTTGATATTTTGTTTTAATTCCTGTTGTGTCATTTTTAATCTTTAACGTCTAAATCCCTCAAAGTCCATCACCTGACCTTTCTTTGTAGTCTCACGTTTTTTAGGTCAAAAAATGCCATCAACAGTAGGGTGTCCAAATTTTTAATTTTTAAAAAATTTGAATGTGCGCTGTCTCGAAATATTCCAATATATATACTTCTTATTAGACAATTTTTTTCTTCATTTACACCAGCTTTATTTTAGGTTGCAGCTACTAATGAAGTTTTGTAGGCGAGTACCTACACTGTATCAAGCAGGAACAAAAGCAGTACAATCAGCTCTAATATATTCAGCACTTATGTATATCATAATTTTACACTAATAAAATTAATTAAATTTTATAAGAATCAGGTGTGGGTGATTGTTATAAACGCTTTAGTTTATGGTATTTTGTTGCATTTTTTTTTATTCCACCTTTAGATCTTGTCTTCGCCACCCTCTTAATCCAAAAATGCTTATTCTTATCCAAACATTCTCCATCCTCCTAAACCAAATATGCTTTTTCTGTAATGATTTTTAGAATATTTAATTTGTCTTTTCTGTAATAGACATGTTTCTTTACTGTAATATGATTTTTTATATTTTCATCTAGACAGAACTTATTTTTCTCCACTTTAGCAGAACAAAAGCAATCCTTAAATACCGTCTGTTTAAACATTGGTATAGCATTATCTAGAGTCGCCAGACGTCCGGTTTTACGGAAAACAGTACAGAGCCAACGATGTAAAAATAAACTTTTTACTGTGTTCTTCTTTGTAAAGGCTGGACGTCTGGCTACCTGAGCAAAATCAAAAATTCTTTTACTTTTCTTTAAAATCTCATTCTCTAACTTTAGAAGTAGCTAACAAAGGATTTTTAGTTCAATGATTTGAGGCAATGCAGATTTATACTTATTATGAAAAGTTAATATCTTATTCCTAAACCAAGATATACTGAAAATAAAGTCTTGAAACTCCTCGTTCTTCCAAACATAGGTTATTGACAACATTTTTGTCATAGTCTTACAAAAATGTTCTCTTTAAATCAATCTAAACTAATAAATAAGTGTTTGACAAAATATTGTTTTCCTGCCTAATGGGAAACGGCATCTCTAGTTCCAATTTTTAAAAACTTTTGAAAAGACTCTGATCTATCCAACTGGTAAATAAAGAGCCCCAGCTGGTTTTGTTCAAAGTTTTCTAAATATATATGTATATAAGTATATATGTATCAATCTATATATATATATATATATATATATATATATATATAAATATATATATATATATATATATATATATATATATATAATATATATATATATATATGTATATATACATATATATATATATATATATATATATATATATATATATATATATATATATATATATATATATATATATATATATATATATGTATATATACATATATATATATATATATATATATATATATATATATATATATATATATATATATATATATATATATATATGTATATATATATATATATATATACATATATATATATATATATATATATATATATATATATATATATATATATATATATATATATATATATATATATACATACATACATACATACATATATATATATATATATATATATATATATTATATATATATATATATATATATATATATATATATATATGTATTATTAAACTCTGTCTATAAACAGTAAGTCAATGATATATATTATATATGATTGACTTACTTTTTATACACATGGTTTATTGTTTTTTAAACATAAAACTATTTTACATTATACATGTATGATATACAATTATATTATATTCGTATATTAATAAATTTCATAATATATATATTAAAAATGCACTTAACTTGTATAATAAGTATTTTAAATGCATGCTAAATGTTTTACTTTAGGCAAAGCGCTTTCACTTAAGGCAAAACGCTTTCTCGATCGGGTCAATAATTTTCGCAAAAATTTAAATGTTGGAATATGTTTTTGATTCTCTTACCTACCTTATTAAAATGATGAAGATGTAGAGTATATTATTTCAGGGGTTTTGTTAATTACAATATGAAAAAATATTAACGGATATTTTGAAAAAGATTTCTATGAAGTCACTTTTAAAAAGGGTTCATGCAAGAAAATAGTTTTAAGAAAATCACTTTATAATCTAAAAAAAATTATTATTGCTTATTCGAGCCTGTTTAACTCAATAATCTTGGCATCTAGTGCAACCAAGGTAATAGCGAGAAAGAGTTGCAGCACTTTTTTTATAAAAATTAATATTTAAATATCTTTATTACGCAAACTTCAAACTATTTACCGTTAAAAACGTACAAAATCATATATTAAGTTCAAGTATAAAGGTGAACAAAATATAAAGATGAATAAAAGATAAAAAAGAACAATAATACTCTCAATATTATTTATGCAATAAAAGTTTAAATGCAGCACACAAATAATATAATAAATATTTTTAAAATAAGATCAAATTATGCACACTCAGACAGACATATTTACTTTTACATCATGGCCTACTTAAAGTACATGGCCTAATATTATGCATCTTTGCCAAAAAAACAGAAGGCCATTCAAACAAAAAACAATAAATTCAAAACAAACAAACAAATAAAAAAAAACTTTAATTGTTGCAAATACTTTTCGTTCAGCAAGGCAAATTATTTTCTAAATAAGTTTTATTAATTAAAAATTTATTTTTGACTAAAGAGTTTAGTATTCTTTATAAATTTTGTAGCTCCACATTAATAAAAAAATCTTTTG